AAAAAAAAAAAAGAAGAAGAAGAAGTCATAGACCTGGACCCGCTTACCTCTCAGAGCTCCCACCAGAGTCAGTGAGCTCAGTTGCCGATGGAAGGCTTGCCCCAAGTCCCGGAACTGCACTCCCTTCAACTGGACCCGACTGGGCTCCTCTGGGAAAGACTGAACAATGACTCTGGCCCCCAGATCCCTGGATCCCAGCATCTTCTCACTCTTGGAATATAAACAGTCTTGTAAATTACCTGAAACATAGAATGAAGTCAGGGGGACCTGAAGCATGTGCAACATGCTTCCAGACAAATCATCCAGTAGGAAAGGTACCGTTGGTGCAAAGGACAAACGATTATTGTTTGTTTCATTTAATAATCTTATTTCCCTTTTACTTTGATTTTCCTCTTTGGATTATTAATTAAAACATCCAATAACTAGGACATGATGTTGCTTTCACTCTATTATTTCCAGAAGCCCCCAAATCAATCACCTTAATTACTGTCACAAAGAGGTTGACTATAACCCACAAACCCAACCTAAATAGATGCTTATTTCAATCCAAAAGATCCCCTGGAGGGAGCATGCAATAAAATGACCTTCTCGTGGTTGATAATTGTAGGGAAGAAATGTGAGCACTGAATGTAATCACAGCTCTTTTTAGTCTTATGCTGTCCAATGGGGTTTCCCCTTTATTTTGTTGCTTTGCAGTTTGGGGACTTAGCAATAATACCACTGCAGAAATGGCACAGGTCTCCAGAGAAGTAACTGAGTGACATCCTCCCCACCTGCACCCTCAATACCTCCTTCCCAGCCCCTTCCCTAGTGAGGATAACAAATTGCAACACCATAATGCACTCAGGGTACCACTGCAACAGGGTATTGTGGCCTCAGGATCCAGGATACCTTCTGTTGACACGTGGCATCTGGTGGCATGAACTAACCTCAGAATGGGTACAAAATCAACTTCTGAAATATTTCTTCATTATTCATATTAATAAACCAAAATGCTACAAATAAAAAATGATGTACCATTCCACAGTGAATAATTTGGTAACACCCAGGAATAAACATATAAGAGATAAGTGAAGGGGTGTTTCATATTTGTATGCTTTACCACAATTTTGATTATTATGCCAGTGATCCATAATTTTTTGAGTGACTAGGTCTCATATTATTTATTTGGCTACCTTGTTTCCTCACCTAAGCCCCACACAAAGAAAGGCGAGTGATATGTTACTTTTTTTAATGAATGTCTATGAATTTGTTTTATTTTAAGAATTTTGTAACATTTAAGAGTTGTGAAATTGGGGATTTTTCCATTAGGAGCCAACAGACCTAAAATGGCCCAAACCTAAAAGTATCATCTCTCTAGCAGCATAATCAAAGGTAATGTTTTGGACAATATGGTCTGAGAATACCTGTATGAGAACTACCAAAATGGTTTGAACAGAATGCAGATTCCATTTCAGAAGACTTGTTAAAGCTGGCAGTCACTGGATTCTAATCCACTGTATCCAAACCTTTTTCAGAATGACATGTTTGAGAGCTAGGTGACTGGGGTGGTGAAGGGTGGACTCAAGGTCCCTCTCACCCAACCACATTTCAATATTACACCCACATGCATCTATATGTAGACATGACACAAATCTTAATTCCAGCCATGACACTTCTTTCAGGCTCCAGACACTACCAGGGCACCTCTACTCAGATCCTGGCCTTGCATCTGTCTTGACATGTACAAAATTAAAGTCATGATCTGCAGCCTTCCACTCCAAAACCTGTTCCTGTTCCCATCTCACTAAATAGCCTCATCATCCATCCAGAGCTCATGCCTGGGAGTCATCCTTGACACCCACACCATCCTAAACCAAAGTTGACAAATGAGATCTTCACAACATGTGAAAGCCTCATAATCTACAGCCTGGGAAACCAAAACATAACCTACTAAACTAACCATCCCTGAAATAGATGTTTAATAGGCACATCAGTGTGATTCAGTGCCTGTTATTCTTCTAGAAGATAAATTGACTTTTCAACCACTTACTTAAAGTATGTGGTAGTTCACTCAAAAAACAAACTCCAAAAGTGGGGGTGAGGGGAAACAGAAGAGCCCTATTAGTCTAATCAGTAACAATGTGCTGCCTGTGTCTGTGACTCTGGCATTAAACAGTTTTCCTGAGAATTTCAGAAGGGGTCTGGAATCAGAGTTAAGATTTCTGGCAAAAATGTTTGGTTTTTTTTCCAGAATATTTTTGCCCCAGAGAAATAATTTCACAAGTGGAAACTATTCTCTACCTCTTTCACTAGGTTGTGGAAGGCAGGAGAAGAAATGACAATTTATCAAGACCATTCTGAATGAAAGAATATTATGAATATGCAAAGACTAAGGGTTTATTCCATTTTGAAAGAAGTCAACAATACTACATATCATTTGACAATAAGAACATTCTTTCTCACTCATTGACTTTTCAACAAAATACTTCACTACCTTCTGAACCACTGGCCTCCTGGCATGAAGCAAGGTGCTTCATCCTCTCAGTAGTGAGATTTCCTCGTATGGTAACTCTCCTGCTGAGCAGCGCCACTGTGACCTTTAAAATATGGCGTCCTCCAGCCACCCAACTCTCTGTGAAGTTGTGTGAATATCTGAAGAGGGGGGAAAAAAAAGAAAAAGACACATCTGAAGATACTACTCCAAATTTTATTAGGAATTGTAAGCCACTAGATTAGCGTCTCTTTGGGAGTCTATTTCCTTAGAAGCTCAGATACAGAAGAGTGAACTATGGGCACAAGTATGTGAAAATTAGGAATTCTGCAGATGATTGCACCATAACGCAAAAGCTCTAGAGTCTTCCAAGATAAACGTATTTAATAAATCTAAATCTTTCAAACATTTCATACTTTATAATTTTCTTATCAAAACATCTAGCATTATTTAATGTAAAAATACATCACTGAAAGACAACTAAGTGTCCAGACACCAACACAGTTAAGACTTCATCTTCTTATATCTAAACAGAGCCGAGCTGATATTCAGTACCTCAAGGGTGATCTCAGATAGAGGTCTGTAGTGTGCACAGTGTCCACAATGACCATCTCTTCAATGGGTTTTGCACCTTTGACACCTATTCCACTGATGATAACAACTTCATCCCCAGAGTGCCAGTCCACAGCATCTTCCAGAGCCAACACTTTGTCACTGGCATAGGCAGCTGCTCGAAGATGGGTGACAGTTACTTCTGGTAGCGAACCTAAAGTCAAACAAGGAAAACTTATTTAGACATTTTGATAGTTAATAGGAATTTGCTAGTATTCAGCCCAAGAATTCTGTAAAACAAGAGTCCAGGAAGGCAAACGTCAGGCTTGATGAGCACTGATGCTTTTGGATATTAGGTTTCTCTTCTGTCACATGTTGTAATAAAAATCATGCAGGATTGAACATGACATGGGGTGAAAAACAGAGGAATTGGAGTCAGCCTAAACTTACAATCGAATCATAGTTTTGCCATGTTTTAACCAAGGGTAATATACTCAAGGATGGGCCCCAGTTTCCTCAGCTGCAAAGCAGAAGTAGCAAGATCTTTCCACATAAGGTGTTAGGAGAACTAAATGAGATAACTATGAAACATCTAGCTTGGATCTTCAAATAAGAGATCTAAAACATACTTTAGTCTTTTCATTCCCTGCATCATGCTGTTTTGAAAATGAAATTTAACCACCTCTTTCTTATTACAAATAAAAACAAATGGGTATTAGACTCTGAATATAAAAGTTCATAACAAGTCTCTAATCTGAAGACTTCAGTGCAACTTACAAATAGGGTTAGGAGAGCCCTGATTCACGATTACCTTGGATTGGTTGTCCTAAGCCTTGATGATTTAAATGATCCCTTCAAATTCTGAACTGTGTGTATCCAAGATGGATTTGCAAAGCAAAGTGGAATATGGGGGAACTTGAGACTCTAGATTTCTTCGTTTGTATGAGGCTCCAGGGCATCCATCCGACCTTCCCCATGCCAGTACACTCCTCCTTAACGATCAAAGACTCAAGAAGGTAGTCTGTCTCATATTTTACTCTGACCTTTTCCAACAAGGGTCAAAGCAAAGACTTTTTTCAAGCCATTACCTGAAGCAACACTTCAGAAAACACGTGGCTTACTCCCAACTCCTCCTCCTTTCCTCAGTACATTTCCTTCCTCCTTTGCAATAGATCATAATTTACCTTTAGCCCATAGCAACTTACTGTCCTCCCTTGTTGCACTAAAGTAAAATAATAATGCTTGAATCTCCAACTACAGAGGTAGCCGACAATAAATCATTTTCAAATTATTTTAAACTTCCCTCTTTATTTGTGTCTGTGTGTGCCCAGGCACATGTCTAGGCTTGGAAAGGTCCTTAGGTTAATGATGTAATTTCTGAGGTTTACTTGGGCAATAATTTTATCTTGAAATTATTTACAGAGTTCAAAATTTCTAATTATAGGGCAGGTGGGAATTAAGACATAAATCATCCCAAAAGAAAATAATTTTAATTTTATTTCTTGTTTGTATCTTTTAACCTTTGGTAACAATAAAATAAAATAAAGTCTATTTATATGTATGTGTGTGTGTGTGTGTGTGTGTGTGTGTGTGTATGAATTTCTATGATCCATTCTTGAATGGCTGCATGGAAAATTTTCTACCAAGCACAGAAAATGTTTATCAAAGACAAAATGCTCTTAAACTCTGTGATCAATTGTGCACAATACTAAATCAATATGCAAAAAACACCTACTATGCACCTATTAACATGCAAGCTCCAGGTGGCAGAATCAAGAATAGGAACAACAAAGGTATTTCTTAACTAATCATTCTTATAATTATACTTAAGTCAGAATGAATGAAAAAAAATCACAGAGAATATTTTAAGTGTGTTTTTAACTATTAACATACGCATACGTCCTTTGAAATGTTGATAGCGCTTTTGGAAAGCAGAATTATCTCATAACTTATTCACTCTCATAGCAAAATAACATATTTATGTGTATGACCAAAGCATCAGTCTTGGTTGTTTCATCAGTGCCAGCCTCGTCTGTCCAGCAACATAGTGGATATTGACATTTGGACAGCTACTGTCATCTGAAACTCACAAATGTCAAAATAATTATAATAATCACCTGAGCTAGACCCTCTGCAAACACCTTTTCTTCTTCTGACCATTCTGCATTGTTGTTTATTTAAACCTTGCTAATTTTTTTTTTAGTTTTATCCCTTCTTTATTTATAACCTACAGTATCTGCTTACAGTACTCAGTAATAAAGCCAAAATTCCCTTTCTGATTTTTAAAACTCTCCATAACCTGACTCTACTTTACGGCCTTTGAGTCTGTAATAAACTCTATTCCAGGAAACCCAGTCTCTTTGCCTCTTCTCACTTAACAGGATCATGCCTACCTGTATCCCTTTACCCATTCTTCCCCTTCCACCTGTGTGCCTGGCCTTCCTTCTCTGATCTAGTCTTCCAAAATGCAGCTCAAGACCCACTTCTTCCACTGAATTTCATGGAACACTTCAGCCCATCCTTATGTCCACCTCCTCCTATAGACACTATAGAGATGTGGAGTTCTTACTTGAGCAAAAGATATGTTTACATCTGGGATTTAGGTATCCCTGGATTTGTGGCTAGTTTGTGGGCCATTTGTTTGAGTTGTTTTGCATGGAAGGAGAAACTTAAACAAAGGAGCAGATGGGAAAAAAGAGGATGACAGAGACTGCATGGGGTCTGTCTCAGATACGGGCCCTCAACTCAGCTCAATTCATAAGGATTTGAGTTAACTATTTTGAATATTGCCTTCTGGACATTCACTTACAAACCCCCATTGGATAGACACCTAAATGAGTATATAATGGCCAATATGCTAAAAGCAGAAAAAACAACACAAACATTTATTTAGAACTTAAAACAAACCCAACCCATGCTAAGAAGTTCTAATAGAAGGAAGAACTGTTTTTTTCTTGTCGTTATCTTCCTTTTAACAGATTGTACAGATTCAACAACCAAAATGCTTCAAGGATAAGTTTTGATCATAATGAGATGTCAGCACTGAGTTCTAAAACTGGGTCATCTGTGTCCAGAACCAAAAGAACGGGATGCGTAATAGAATTCCTGAACCCCGAAATAACTGAATTAACTGTACCTGATCAGCTTTGATACTCAAAGAATTATTTTTCTTACTTCATAAATGTTATTTAAGTGCCTCACAAAGCAAACCCACTGGCTTCTGAGATGAAGAAAGAATTGCCCACATTGTAAACGTGAGTCATTTCACTTCACAGAACTCTTGGGAAACCCAAGTTGGGCAGCTCCCTTCCTTTCTTTACCACAAATCAAAAAACATAAAAATACAGTTTAAAAAGCTCAATAACTTATAAATATGCTTAAATGAAAAGGGTTATGCTCTTAATGTGTAATTTAATACAATGTTTAACCACTTTGGGCTTTCAACATTGACCTGTTAACCAACAAACTATTCATTTACTCCCACTAATGACTTCTACTCATAATTGTATTTCCTACAAATTATTGTCCAAGCATTTCAGTGCCATTCATCCATAATTACACAGTCCCAGAGAACCATCTTACCAAATGGGCATGAAGAGAAAGAAAATAATCTTTGTGGGTTAACACACTTTAAAATCACTAATTGCTCTATGTTTATTTTGTAGGACTTCAATCTTTATTCCAAGTGAATAACTGCCAAGACCTTTCCAAATCACTTGGGAGAGGGAGGTAGTGAAGGAAAAGAAGAGGAAGAGAGAGTGAAGGGAGGGGAGAAATGAAGGAAAGAATCATATTGTTAAAATAATGTTCACATCAGAATAGAAATATAAAGGAACTCACGAAAGAACTAGAAATAGTTTTCCGAAATACATGCAAATTATTTCCCTCTATTTCCACCTGCAGCTTCACATTATGCGTAGCAAAACAATGAATTCTGCTTTTTCTTTTATGTAGATGAACACTTCTCATGCACTCGAAAGACAGACATGAAGGAGGGCACCTGGGTGGCTCTGTCGGTTAAGTGTCCCACTGCTGATTTCAGCTCAAGTCATGATCTCATGGATGTGAGATAGAGCCCTGGATCTCTCCCTCTCCCTCTCAAATTAAATAAATCAACGTTAAAAAAAAAAGAAAGAACAAAAGAAAGATGGACCTGTCCTCCAGGGTCCATGACCAGTACAGGAAACAGACAAAAGTCACAAATGTACCATTTTAAGTGTTAACACAGAGGGACATCCAGGGTCTACTGGTGCACAGGTGTGGGTACTTCACTCACACAAAAGGGGGGTTGTTTCTGGGAATGCTTCCCAAATAGGTGATAACTGAGCTGGGTCTTTAGGGATAAGTCATAGTGGGCCAGATGACAAAACAGAGTACTCCAGGCAAAGGTAATGGTATATACAATGATGTGGGCCAATGTGACACATTCAAATAACGGCTATATATGTGACATTGGCAGAATGCACATATGGGGAATGGGGGTTGCTGATGAGAGTCAGTGAGACTGCATCTGGAAGGTGAGCAAGACCTACTTAGGAAGGGACTCTCAGGCCCTCCCAAAGAACTAAGAGTTTATCCCAAAAGTAACCACCAAAATAATACTTAAGATGGTAACAGAGAAATCAGACTCTTGTTTGACTAGTGATATTTTAAAACCATGAGTACACATATCAAACTGAGGGGAGAGAATCCTTAGTGAGAAACTATATTTACTGCATATTGGGTAGAATGAGAAAAAACCTAAGTCAAGTCCTAAGATGATCAAGGGCCAGCCAGGGGGCAAGCAAGAGCTTGATGTGTTCCAGGAACTAAATGGAGAGAGGGGTATCTGGAGAAGGCAAATGAGATGGCACAGTGTGACTGGTGCAGGACCTTGGTGGCCTGTTTCAAAGGACTTAAATCTAACTTGAAATAGTTATGTGATCAAATTTATGTTTTTAAAGGTCACCCTGGCTGTTGAGTGAAGAAAAGATTGCAGGGAGGTAAAAGGAAAGTTAGAAGTCTATGTAGCAGGCTGCTGCAGTAAATGTAGAAGATGAGTGCAGTAGGTCAGATAAGAAGTTTTAATAAGTATTCGGCAGTGGATCTGGAGACAGATATAAAAATCTGAGATATCTTTTGGAGAATCAAGAGGACTGGCTGATTGGATCTAGAGGTAAAGGAGAAGTCAATGGTGACTTACAGGCTGACCAAGAGCAGAACCAAGTTGGTAGA